TGAACAAAAACAGAGGAAAGTGTAATTATGAAATCAAAAGGCGAGTAAAAGTAACGAACAATAAATCAGAACTCCGTTTCATTGACCTCCAAACTAATGCTAATACAGTAATACCTCGCGATCGTGCAGTATTTTCGGAGCCGTAGCCAGAGGATGTTAGGATAAGTGGGATACGGAGGTAGGGGGGGGGGGGGGGGAGAGTATGCATACCGCAAAAGACGGTGGCCTCCAAGAAAGTGAGTAGAGAGAGACATGTATCTGCGCCCATTGTCGCGTAGCTAACCCTAACCCTGAGCGGTTGCATCTTTAGGCTTTTCTAGATTATGCATTATCAATGAAAGGGTGATTTTTCTTCGCATGATACCGGCTATCAGGATTAGCACTTGCGGACGACCCCGTCTTGGTCACTGTCTCGTCTGCGGCGGAAATCAACGAAAAAAGGGTCCCACTTCTATGGTCTCAATTTGTTTTCTCTCGGATTTTTCTTAGAAGGCAAAGTTCGGGCTCAGACCCACCTAAGAAGCCCTTACCATGGCTAGAAGTGCTGGGTACGCAAGTGCAAAGGTAGCGCCACCTTTCTACATCGAAACGCGTCACTAGGACCCTAGGCGCCATGGACTTCTAACAGACTCCACCAAACTTAACATGGTCCGCCCACCGTTCGATATCTTGTCTGCGTCGCCACGTTGATCTGCTATGCTCTCTCTTCTCGGACTTCTCTACCACTCTCCGCGCTCACATAAACCATGGAGCAAAATGCTCGTATTTCCTGTGTATTTCAGGATTTTCTTTCCTTTTTTCTCCACTGGCGGTCCACCTCCCACCCCTACTTTCACATTTGAGTGGAATCACCCATCAATTAATCCTGATTCTTGCCTCTAACCAGTGCCCCTCTACCACCCCTACTTTTAGCTCCATATGCCATGATTTTTCGTAGTATCCGCCTTTGATAGAAAGTTCAGGCGGTTCCAGCAGTAATTCAAAAGCAAGGTTGATTGAATGAAATTAGAACACGCTCTGCTCCTGCTTCCTTTCAGTGGAGAAGTTGCGCAAAGGCCCTTGATAATGACTGACACCCGCATGCCCAAAACAGCTGACTTCATCCCGCTTTCACCAAATATAATACCGGAAACGTTTGAAACCAGCGATTGTCATGTGACGAAATAATGATATGAATCGTCTAATGAATCCTATGAGGTGGCAGAAACGGTAGGACATTCCTTAGCAGAACACTCGGAATATATCTAGCCTGAATTTTCGTCGTGATTTAATTCTCGGCTTTTGAGCTTGTTTCTTTATCTCGATGTTTTTGGCTTCCGCTGGAGGAGTTGCCCCAACTGAGGCTTGGTTCCTCTTTAGTTATGGGCGTAGCTCCAGAACACGCTTTTCTTCCTCAATCAAGCTATTCTGAACTTCACGAAGGGAGGCTGTTGAACTGAAAAAAAATTATCTCTTATTCTCACTACACAAAAAATATTAAATGAAATTGCATCAAAGTAGTTTGAGCAACATAATACGTACCGCTCCGACGCTACAGCCGCAGATTCGGTGCTTTCTTTTAATTTTTCTTTCAGCTCGGATATTTCATTTTCGAATGCCAGTGTCTGCGTATTCTGCACATTAAAGAAATTACGGAATAGATAGTAAATTCATTACTTTTTCCAAAGTTCTACGTACCAGATTGTTTCTGGCTGATTCAAGATCTCGTTCCTTCGAAAGCAATGTTTCTTCAGAAATTCTGAGTTTTTCCGAAAGGTCAACTACCTGAGACTCAGTTCGATGTTGAAGTTCTTGCAACTCTGTTAGCTCACTGAAAGAGCGATTACACCATAAGCTCGAGATTGGTTTCGCTAATACAAATGACAGAGAAATTTAATGTATAAATAATAAAATTATATTGAAGACAACCCAAAACCACTCTTATAGAAACCTTTCCGCTCGGGCACGTTCTTCATTGAAAGTAGCATGCAATTTGTCCATTTCAAGGATCAACTCGTCTATACGGCTTTCCAGCTGTCTGCAGTGATTCTCGGAATCAGCATGTTGCGACCTCACTGCCTTCTGAAAAACAAGTGCTCAGTCTCACCAGTAAATGAAATTTGTGTTTAAAATAAGAAAGGACTGATGATAAACATGAGGCTGCTGGAACGCCACCCGCAATTTACGTCGCAGTGCCGCAACGCTGAGGCAGAATACACCGAAAACATCTATGTCCTCCAGTAAACTTTGCCCGTTTTTGTGAACACTGGCACAAAACTACTGCCTTCTTGCATAAAAAACGTTGATTTGTCACACAGTAAGGAATACATAATTCAATAAAAGTAGCCGGTCCACCTTTTGTTGTAAGGCGCGTTAAAACCCTAATTTCCGATAGATAAGCCCGCGCCGATATCACGTAAAAACACTCCGCTTTCGTGCAGCGTAATTTTGTACACATTAGAGACTAAAGAGACTACGTTAGTTTGCCTATAGAGGTAATTCGATGCCCTGATTACGAAAATGACTTTCATTTTTGGCGGTGGCGCCATCTGGCGCCAGTTGGCGTCACCTTGTCACGACACCTGTTTTCACCAATTTGGTGTAAACTTCCGTATAGGGGTTATTTGGTGTCCTGATTACGAATATGACATTCATTCTCGGCGCTGGCGCTTTGGCGCCTATTTTCTGCTTAGTCTACGCTCTACAATCGAAAATAGGCGTTGACAACTGTAAATGGCAAAAAGATGAATGTCATAATTCGATAGTCAAGGACACAAATCCAACAAGCTCAAATTTGCACGAGATTTGGCGGAAACAAGAGAAGTTACAGTTCGGCTCCCCCACTTTCTTCACGATTTGGGGCGCGGCCGCGGCGAGCGCGGACGAGTCGATAGTGCCCGCGAACTGTGGTGGTGATGCGTTTTCAAATTTACCCACACAGTTCGCGGGCACTATCGACTCGGCCGCGTTTGCCGCGGCCGCGCCCCAAATCGTGAAGAAAGTGGGGGAGCCTTTGGCGACCAAATGGCGCCAGTATGATAATCAAAAATATCCAATCTATTCTAATGGCAGTTTACGGGTTTTGTCTCAGTTGTATGCAGATTGCACTGGCACAGCAAGAGGAGTTTCTTTACGCCCTAGTGTTGCGAACTACCATACGAATTATGGTAGTGTACCCAAAATGACAAGCTTGACGAAGTTACCTCTTCTGTGCTCACTCTCTTCACTTCTTCTTCCAGTCCAGCAATCACATCATCTTTCTGCTTGATTTCATTCATAAGAGCTTCTTGCTGAACTAATTTCTCGTTGACTTCTTCCAGAGCTCTAGAATCAGGCTGCATACATGAAATCAAAGAAGATCCGCAGTAATGTTTACTTTTCAGCACGACGGCGTTCGCTAGCTGCAGCTTGAGATAGGCAATCGACTTCTTTCAGTTGCACTTGAAGCTCTTCTTCCAACTGAGAAATACGATGGTGAGAGTCGTCCGATCGAGACTGAAAAAGAACTGAAGTGTTATAATACATTAGGTTTTCTAGGCAACGATCCTCAATATAGACATCAATTGTTGATTTTAAAGCTTGCCTGCTTCAATTTGGGTTTTTGATAATAGCGCACATCTCGGCGAGGAAACATGAATAACCATCGAACGCGATCTGGGGACAAAGGGGGCTGAGACAACGACAGATATCCGTGATGACAGCGTGAGAATTCTTCCTGCTACTGCGGCTGGAGCATGTTTCTTTGGAACCATATATGATGAATACGAGCATATAATCTATAGCAGCGATCTCGTATCGTATCGACGAAAATATTTGGGCTGTTCGAAAAGGTTGCGCCCGGACTCGTCCTCTAATTAAGAGGCATATTCGTCAAACAATAGTTTTGATCGATAATAAAAGTATTTTTATTTAATTATGACCACTCTACGGAGGAGTAAGTTTATGGCAGGATGTTGGAAGTGTTGGGTTCTGTGGAAAGTCTCTCGGCGAAGGTTTTTTAACTTGTGCCGTGACTGGAAGTGGAGATGGGGGCAGGGTCGGTCCTATCGTTGGTACTTTTGCGAAATTTTTACGACTCCCTCTTCACAACTACCTTTCCCTCATAAAACCCCGTCGAGCTGGGGAGGGGGAGGGGGAGGAGGGGGAGGGGTATATAACTCATCCAGCTGAAGCGCGCACCAATTCTCCAGGCACGCTCTCAAACTCATCACTGTTCTGTCTCCTTAGCGACCCCCCCCCAGTCATCCAAGTAACGATGTAACCGCAGTTGTTTTTTTTTCTTTTTTTTTTTTTTTTTTTTCTACTTGAGGCTTAGCAACGTAGTTGACCCTGGATGGGGGGGGGGGTGCTGCGCAACAGTGGGAAGAACAAACTGGGGAACACAGCTACCGACTTCTTTGGACTCTCACCCTCACCTTTATACATGGATACCCCATCTAAGTCATCCGGAACAAGAAGCGTCCTGTACAACGTTACAAATGCAGATTTGGTAAGATTGAGACCCTCAGTTCTTCATTGTCATTCCCCGACATAAAACCAGTAGCGATGAACAAGAAGAGGTAGGTGTAACTGAGGCTTTCAAAAAAGTACAAGTGAAAAAGTAACAAACCATTATAGTAGGACATTGAGTCAACGAAAAAAAGATGAAAATGACAGCGGCACAGCGTTAAAAAATCTTCTACCAAAAAATTAATTCAAGCTTAGCAGTACGTATAAAAGTCACAAATGTAAGAAAGAAGGGAAGAAAGCGCAAAAAGGAGGAGAAGCAAAGGAAAAGAGCCTGATCATGCCGAACGTAGAGAACAACCAGCATAAAAACGAGTAGCACAGTACCAAAGGACCGATAATGGATTGTTATGGATGTACTCACCACCTTATCTCCACAAGCTTCAGTTATGTCCTCGTCCTGCAAAGGTACGAAAACTTCTGCATTGTCAGCCTTCGACTGCCGCTCAGCTAACTGAAATACAACTTAAGGCATTGAGATGTTCTTTAGTTAGACGTGGAGAATTAAAAAAAGGGAAAGAAATGGCCAAAAACGCTCGTATAGGGCTCCGTTGTATGCTATACGAAGTTAGGCTACAGTCGATATCCGAAAGTTGGGGTGGGTGTGTCACCGGAAGTGACGTGCACTTGATAGAAGTGCGTGGATAAGCTGTTGCCAGCATGCTTTGCTGATAGCCAGCGATGTATGTTGGAAGCAGCTTATCCACATAGTTTCTATCAAGTGCACGTCACTTCCGGTGACACGCCCACCCCAACTCACCGATATCGAGTATATCAATGGTAACTCTATCTGATATGTAGTTAAACGGATAGAGAATAGACGAAGGAGAAAGAGGGAGAAGAGGAAAAAAAAAATCCGCCACATAAACTGTTATAGCCAACGATTTCCTCGTCATTTGATCTTGGCGGAATCTCACAAAAATTATTACATTACGTTTATCATATCTTCCCTATGGAGGAGCAGTTTTGGGATAAATCTTGACCCCATGCAAAGAAACCAGAAAAAAAGCTCATGCAGGAAAAAAAGCAGAAAAGAGATCACACAAAATACGAACTTCACCCATATTTCAGTATTCTCACGATGTCCGGAGAGTAAGTCAAGGAGAGATAAGTCAAAAAAGAGACTTCGGAAGTAAAAGTTGAAAAACTCATCGAGCTCACCTGAGATTTTAACTCGAGAAGTTCCTTCTCTAGAGCAGCTCGGTGGTTCCGTACAACTATGATCTCTTCTACGTTTCTCTTCAACTCCTCATTCAAACGAATGTTCTCCAGCTGAACATCTCCAGCACTCATGGAGACGCCGAGAGGCTCGTCTCCGGATCCGCCAACTCTGGCTGGTACCTCCAACTTTCCCTGCACCGTTTCACCGGCTGTCTTCAGTTCACTGAGCAATCGTTGAGCCTCATCCCTCGTGAACTTTACTGTGTTGTTTTCTTCCTCGAGGTGATTGATTTTTGCTGTCAGTTCAGTATTCATTTCATTCAGGTAAGCAATTTCAGATCGGAGTTGCTGAATTTCATCGCTCGTGCACATCTCACCGGCAGTTTGTGCACTCAATTCCGAAACTGAAGCCATGTTTCCATGTGCATTTACCTAAAAGCCGTTATGTAGAACTCTAACATTTTAGCCGCTGCAATTTCGGACTCACTTTGTTCGCGAATTCGCTTTCAGATGAGAAGGAAATCAAGGCATCTTTCTCCTTCCGCTCTTCCACTGATTTTTCAAGACTGGAACGCTCCTCCATCAAAAGGGCACGATCTTCTGAAGAATTGATGATAAGAAGTTTGTAGAAAAATTCAGTTGTAAACGCACCTTTTAACGCTTTTTCAGCTCTTTCAGCACGCTCCGTTAATGAGGCCACCAAACATTCGACTTCATCGCGTTGTTTACGCGTATCCTTGAAAAACAAGAGAGAAACTTCCTCCAACAGTGATCCAAAACTAACAATTTGTAATAATAAAAAGAGGGAGAAAGAACTCGACGTGCTTACCTCCAATTCGGCTTTGAGACGATCATGCATTGCAGACAATTCGCGAGCAGTAGCTATCTCTTCTTCAAGCTCCTGCTTACGTATCTCAATGAGATGGAACTCACTATTACGTGATTCTAACATGGCTCGCAACTCATCGAGTTCTTCTCGCAACGTCGCCTCCAGCTGCTTCGCCCTGGGCAATTACCAATTAATTTTGAATCAATGAGTTTCGATGCAATGAAATTTCGCATGTCAAGCCCTAGACCCGCTAGAACTGGCAGATTTGGAAGGAGCAGAGTAGTTAATTCTGAACAGCGATTGAAATTCAACATAGCAGCCTAGTACAGGATGCACGAGGGAGCGCTTGGAAGAACAAAAGACGAGGCGCGAGGTGGAGATTGACAAAGAGCATATGTTGTTTGCGTGAGAGCAGAGACAGCGTGCACATGCCAAAACAGTCGATTGGGATGTAAATAGTAGGACGAGATAAGAGAAGAAAACGAAGCACGATGATGACAGCTTATT